CCCTCGTGTAGCTTTGCGCGAAATTCCAAAAAAAAACAAAACAAACATAATATAAATATGACTTGAAGCATAATTAAAAGAATTAAATGTTTTCCCATCATCTACGGACGATAACTAAAACCTAAACATGTTAAAAACAGCATACCTAATGTTCATAAATGTATTTTATCTGTTTACTTGTTTCACTTTTCATGACATAAAATGTATTCTCATATTCAAAATATCGCATGTAAATATCCAATTAAAATCGTCGGTGTCGTTTTATCAATCGTTTTCTAAAGTGATGTCATTTTATATTTATTTTATAAATGCTGTTTTTCACCTTTAATTGAGTTGAATCTCCATAATTCAGGTAACTAGTATAACACCCATTCTACACCCATAAAGCCTGCTGCGTTACAAACATACCTTATTAATTTGAGCTTTTACTACCATAATAGGGTCTAGAATGCCAACTGCAGGAGGTAAGATTTCCTCATTCACCACCTCCAATGGCAGGACATTTTCTTTCTCGTCTATTTTTCATTTCACTTCTTTTCTTCTGAGAGCAGTTATCTTCCCACAACTGTCTGCAGGCAGTAAAAGGTGATATAGATTTGGGACGTTACGGGCTTGAACACCCACAATTTTCTCTCTTATTCCATTTCATTTTTTCTTATTTTACTCTTTCACTTTATTTGTTTTTCGTCTTTACGTGTGAGGTTTTGCAAACGAAAGTTAAGATTGATAGCCTGTCTTTCCCCAATGCAGGTGACTTTGTTTAGTTGTACAGTGTTTTAATTACGGCTTATTTTATATTATAAATATGTTATATTTCATCATAGGTTTGATCCTGCTGTTTGTAATGTAGTCCTTCCTTTTGATGCAAATATTAACGTACCTGTTTAGATAATGCTATGCTAGCTCTTTCTTTTGAAAATGCCCCATCCTGCAATGGAATAATTGTTTTTTGGTCTTATAACCCGAATTTCAATCCTGCTATGTCATAGTTTTCATATATTTTAATTGGTATTGATGTCATAAATGTTACATTCAGAAATCTGTATCTTCTTCTTCTTCTGTAGCTTTTCCCGTATCTATAAGGA